GTGTTGAGAATCGAACCCAGTGCCTCACAAATGCTAGGCAAGTGCTCTGCCACTGAGCTACAGCCCCAGCCCCAATTTGACTTTTTTAAAATATTTTTTTTTAGTTGTAGAGGCACAGTACCTTTTTTATTATTTATTTTTTCTGTGGCGTTGAAGATTAAACCCAGTATATTACACATGCTAGGCAAATGCTCTACCACTGAGCTACAACTCCAGCCCTATAAATTTGATTTTTGACTATTGACTTAGTATCCAGCAACCTTTTCAAGTTTATTTCTTAATTTGGATAAGTTATCTATAAATTCCTTTGTGTTTTCTGCTTGTACAATATTATCAACTATATAATGAGTTTTTTGTCTTCCTTTCAAATTCTTGCACCTTCTGTTTATTTTTCTTGCCTTATTGCACTGGCGAGGAAACCGAATACAATGCAAAACAGGGGTGCTGACTGTGAGCAACCTAGTCTTCCTCCCAGACTCAAAAGGAAGGGTTTCAACATTAACCTTTGTAAGAAGGTTGTTTTTTTTTTAGATTAAGGAAGTGCCCTTCTTTTCCTAGTTTTCCAAGAGTGTTTTTTTTTTTTAATCATACATGGACATTGAATTTTATTAAATAATTTTCATGTATCTTCTGAGAACATGAGCAGGTCTATCCTGCTAGTGTGGTGACTCATGCCGATTTTCATGTGTTAGAATGACTTTCCTTTGGAGGGATAAACTTGTTTTGCTCGTGATGTGGCACCTTCTTCCTGGAACACTCCATCCAGTTAGCTCCTGGTGTTTGGGATTCTGGCTGTTGTGTGGGAGAGAGAAACTGGCCTGTGATTTTCCTTGTGATTTTGGTATCAGGGTTATGTTGGTCTCATCACAAGAAGTGAGACTTTCCTCCTTTCCTTTCCTTCTTTAGAGGGAAGCGTTGTGCAAGATCAGATTTCATTAATGTTTGTAGGAGCCATGTGATGAGACTTCCTGCTGGTTCACAGATTCATCCATGCTCCTTGTGATCTGTTAGTTTCTGCTGCAGATACTCCAGGCCTCGTACTTAAGTAAATACTAAAAATTGAGGCATTGTTAATTAACCCTGTGGAGGGTAGTTTCAGAGTATCCCTTTGTAACTTTAGTGATGTTTTTACCTTAAAGTCAACTTCTTCTGGTATTAATATAGCTATGCTAACCATTTTTTTGGGGGGAGTGCAGAATACATCTTTTTCTGTAACTTTCAACCTTTCTGTACCTTTAATTGTAGACAGACACATTTTGTTAATGGCATGTAGGATTTTAAAAATACAGTTTGACAGCCTATCTTTCAAATGGATAATTTATTGAATAGTGATTTTTGCTTTCTCCCACCTCTTTTGCTTGCCTTTCTTGCCCTCTATTTGATTAGTTTTTATTTTTATTTTTTATTATTATTATTTTTTTTAATATTTATTTTTCAGTTCTCCGCAGACACAACATCTTTGTTGGTATGTGGTGCTGAGGATCGAACCCGGGCTGCACACATGCCAGGCGAGCGCACTACCGCTTGAGCTACATCCCCAGCCCTTGATTAGTTTTTATTACTCTACTTCTTTTTTAAAATTTTTTAATTTAAAAAGTCTTTTTTTTAAAGAGAGAGTGAGAGAGGAGAGAGAGAATTTTTAATATTTATTTTCTAGTTCTCAGCAGACACAACATCTTTATTGGTATGTGGTGCTGAGGATCGAACCCGGGCCGCACGCATGCCAGGCGAGCGCGCTACCGCTTGAGCCACATCCCCAGCTCTAAAAAGTCCTTTTTTAAATGTATTTTTTGGTGTAGATGGACACAACACAATGCCTTTATTTTTATGTGCTGCTGAGGATTGAACCGGGTCCCACCCGTGCTGGGCGAGCGCTCTACCACTGAGCCACCATCCGAGCCCCTAAAAAGTGTTTTTTTTTTTTTAAGATTTTTTTTTTTAAGTTGTAGATGGACACAATACCTTTCTTTTCTTTCTTTATTTTTTATTGGTGTTTAAAAGATTGAGCCCAGTGCCTCACACATGCTAGATGGGTGCTCTGCCTACCTTAAGCCCCGGCCCAGCCCCATTACCCCATTTCTTATCCTTTATAGCTGGCAATTATACACTTTTTTTTTTTTTTGTACTGGGGATTGAACCCAGGGGTGCTTAACACTAACTCTCATCCCCAGCCCCTTTTATTTTTTGAGACAGGATCTCATTAAATTGCTTAGGGTCTTGCTTTGTTGCTGAGGCTGGCCTCAAATTTGTGATTCTCCTGCCTCAGCCTCCTGAGTCCTGGAATTACAGGCTTGGACTGTGCCTGACTCTAGTTTAACATGTTTTTGTTTAGAACTTCCACTTGTCCTGTTTATATCTCTGTTATTTGCCATGATTCTCAATCTTACTCCTGGAACACAGTAAGCACTGTGCCTTCTTATCTGCAGGTGATAGCTCCAAAGCCTTCTGATTCTATCAGTTGTTTCTGAGGTCTTTAGGACCTTGCTTCTTGTGTCTCCTCCATCCCCCAGTGCCTAGTTGTTTTTACTGTATGTGGAAAATTAAATACCTTGAGGCCTAGGATGATGTCATTCTCCTCCAGTGGGTGCCTGGGGTTAGTTATCCAGACTCTAAGAAGGCTCCAGATGACTGGGAGCCAGCGTGCATCGGAGGAGGCCACAGTGGTTCCTCAAGATCTCAGACCCAAACAAGGTGAGCTCTAAACTCCACCCCCCTTTTTTTTTTGGTACCAGGGATTGAATCCAGGGTGCTTAATCACTGAGCCACATCCGCAGTCCTTTTTGTTTGTTAAAACTTTGAGACGGGATCTTGGGATCTCTGAGTTACTTAGGGCCTTGCTAAATTGCTGATGCAGGCTTTGATCCTCCTGCCTCAGCCTCCAGAGTGGCTGGGATTGCTGGCCTGCACCACGGTGCCCACCAGGCCTTATTTTCCTTATAAAGGTCTCACATGTCTTTTGTTGGGTTAATTCCTAGGAATTTCAGACTTGTGGTGCTAACATAAATGAGGTCTTTTAGGGATGGCGTTTCTGTTTGTTGTTGTACACAGGAATGTGCTGCATTTTGTCTGGGTGTACAGCAAAGCACCTTTAGGAGCTTGTTAGTCTCTTGGCTATTTTTCCTTTCTATGTTGGCTGCAAAGCGTCTCCTGCCCAACAGCAGGCAAGGTGACAGTGGGATGCCCCATCGGGTTTGATTTGAAAGGAAACACTTTGAACATTTTACCATTAAGTATAATGCTTGCAAAGGATTTTGGAAGGTAGCCTTTACCAGATTTAAGATTTTAAATTTCTAGATAGCTAAGGGTTTTTTAAAAAATATGAATGGAAGTTTTTTTTTTTTTTTTTAAACCCAGGGCCTCGTGCAGCTAGGGCAGCACTCTGCCACTGAGCTCCATTTCAGCCCTGGGTGTCACATTTTAGTGTCCTCTCCAGAGGTGATCAGTCTCTGTTCTGTGGGAGACTGCTCCAGGACCCTAGAGGACACTGCAGCCTCAGAGGCTCAAGTCCCTTATACAAGGTGGCATAGTGTTTGCAACCTTCCCATGGACTTCGAATCATCTCTAGATGACTTAGAGTGCCTAATGAAATGCAAATACTGGGTAAATTGCTATGCCGCATTATTTTGGGGAAAGGTATTGTGTATGTGCTCAGTACGGGGCATGGTTCTCTCCTGAGTGGTTCTGTGGCTGGCTGGCTGCTCGTGTGCGGTTTTGTCCTTTGTTGAGCTCCGTGGTGCATTGGGTGGGGGCCATACTCTGAAACCATCAACCCTGCACCCAGTGCTCAGAGGCTTCCATCCACTCTTCATCCTTGTAAAGTGCAGCTGGGCTTAAGCCAGGGCTGGTCTCATCCAGTCTCCTCCCCTTGGGATTCTGCCACTTCTGCGTCTGGGTTAGAGAGCAGGGAAGTGTGGAAGTAGCCCGTAAGCACCCAGCCCAGGGCGGCACATGCCTATGACCCTGAGATCACTGGCAAGGGGCCTGGTGTGCCTGGAAAGCAGAGGTGGGGAAGACACCTGTCGGGTCCGGGACCACCTCTGCTCCCCGGCTTGGGAGGAAGTGGCAGGAGTGGCTGCCTGGGGCTGCAGCAGTGCTCCTATGCCTGTCCCCGTTTTCCAGTCTCAAGCCTGGGAGGTACTGGGAGGTGCTGAGAGTGACTGAGAAGTCACCTGAGGCGGTTCTGGAGGAGATGCCCTCTTCTTCCCTGATTGGACCCCACTGGCCTCAGCATCCCAGGCAGAGGGACAGATCCCTGGGACTTAGGCCACCATGGGCTCAAAGCCGAGACAGGCCCTGGGTCAGTGCCAGAGGGCTCCCGTGGGCTCCCGCAGGCTCCTGCCATCCTGCATGCTGCCACTCAGGTGCATGGTCTGTGTATAAGGTGCTCGGGGTGGGGACCTGGGGGCGGGCGGGGTGCTGGCGTGTGGCGTGGCTCTGGAGGGTAGTAAAGAAAGGGAGACGAGTTTCCTTTTCTCTTTGGTGGTGCTAGGGAGGGAACCCAGGGCCTCCCACATGCTGGCCAGCTCTAGCACTGAGCCACACCACAGCCTAAGAAAGGGAGTCCGTGGATGTCCTCCTCCTGTGTGGGAAGACACAGTCCAACTCAGGGCAGAGGGCGCCTGGAGCCCCGGGAGCTCCTTGCTTGGTCCCATGAAGGCACAGGCTGTGCTGTCCCTCGCGTGGCTGCTTGTGCAGAGCGGACACAGGCCTGCAGAAGACAACTTCCAGACAGAGCTTTAGAGTACCGGTGTCCCTGAACTCCACTGCAGAAAAGTCCCTTTGCACAGGAGCCTGGGACGGGAGAGCTCTTGGGCAAAGACCCGAGGGGAGCGTTCTGGAAAGGAGCGATGCCATTCATCCCACTCAGCAGGCTGGGCACTGAGACCACTAACCTGACCCCTCAGCCCCCAGGACCCTGCCCGTAATCCAAGGCCACAGAGAGGCAGCGGGGTGCCCGAGGCCACCTGGTGCGCACGTAGCATTGGTGCAGAGGCCACCAGACAGCTTTCACCTGTTTATTTTTCTTTCATATAAAAGTTACATGTTTGAAATGTCTGCAGGAAGATGCCACCATCAGGGGGTTATTGGGGGCTGTATATTACAATGTAACGTTGGGGAGGTTGTGGGGCAGCCAGGGTAGGAGACCGCTCTGAGGCAGGGCTCAGGTCAACCACCATGTGTCTGCCTCTCCCTGGCTCCACCCACCCGCAGGGAACCAAACCATTCACTTCGTTCATGTCCTTCGGTGAAGATCGATTCCCACCATGCCCCCCGGCCCCCCAAGAAACAGCCTGCACTAGGCCCAGCCCTGAGTGCTGGGGTGTGGCCACAGCCAGAGGCAGGAGGGAGGGAAGCCTGGCGGCCAATGAGGCACACATGCACCTCACTGTCCTCCCCAGGGTGCCCTGTCCCCTGGTGCTGCCTGTCCACAGCCTGGGCACTTCTGCAGGGAGTGCAGGGGAGGCCTGGGCACTCTGGGACAGGCAGCGGGTCTGTTCTGAATTAAGGAAGTGGCTCCCCCAGGCCCTACCCCCCAGCTCTCACCAGGACAGGTGGATGGCCCGCTGCAGACAGGAATCTGTCCTGTGGGCAGAGCAGGCTGGGGCTTCGCTGCCACAGCACTGGCAGTGGCCTGCGCTAGGAGACTTCTGGGCTCTCAGAAGGCAAAGAGGACTCTGGTCAGCACACCCGGGCCCTGTGTGCATAGCTCCCCCCCCCACAGCAGCACTCAGGGCTGGACACGGATAGGCAGCAAGAGGCAGGGGCTGAAATGAAAGGACTCACCCGAGAGGGAACAAACCGGACCCAACCCGCACAACACTGCCAGGGAACCCAACTGCACACACACACACTCCTTAAATAATAAAGTGACAGGTTCCAGCCGCCAGCAGGGCTGCTGCCAGAGAGGGCGCTCAGTGATATTTCACAGACATCCTCCCTCTATTTACAGGACAAATAAAACACAAAAGAGGAAAAAAACAAAACAAAACAAAAACAAAAACGCCAGCCCCGACTTTCTTCTTGATAAAAGCTGCTTAAAATCCACGAAGGACTTAGCAACGCTGTCGCTTTCTACCTTTTGTTTTGTGGAAACGGGGCTGGGGAAGCTCGGTTAGATCTGGTGCTCACTTGACCAAATCCCACTCTTGGGAGAAGTGAGCGCATCATGCAGAATGGGCGGGGTGTGGGGGGGCACAGGGGTTCCCACCTGCACCCTGCCTGCTGGGCCCTGGGAGCAGCCAGGAGCTCAACAAGGAAGAGGCGGGCACCTTCCTGGGGGCTGCTTTCCTGGGCAGCTCGGGACATGTCTGCAGCAGGCCTCTCCCGCCTGCACCCTGGGGAGCACTGTGTAGCAGCCTGCTGGACCCCAGGGTGGGACAAAGTAGGAGGGAAGCCTGTGGGGAGGGAGGAACAGGAGATGGAGTTTAAGGCACACAGCAAGTGCAGAGGGGGCTGCCCACCTCTCCCCAGGACAGCGGAACTCCTCCCCCCAGCCCCCACTGGCTCAGCTCTGCCACCCCCCTACTCAATTTCTGTGACGACAAAGTCCTCCTGCTCCCAGAGCCTGGATGATGTGGGCAGGGGCCTGGGGGCCTGCGCTGGGGAGCTGAAGGGGAAATAGGTCCTCGAGGACCAGCAGGGCAGCCTGTGCAGCATGGATGCATGACAGGCCTGGGCCAGTACCAGGACTTGAGCCCAGGGCTGCTGAAGGCCACCCGTCATACCTCCTGGGCCAGCCACGCTCACTCCACCCTCCACATTGAAAATCCAGGGAATGGAAAGTAAGAGGTGCCTGCCCCTGGCCCTCTGTCCCTCTGCTGCACCTCCCCTCTCCCAGGTGTCCTGGAGGGCAGTGTGCCCAGAGGGTCCTCAGCCTCCACTGCCTGACATTTCAGGAGACTCAAGGGTCCTGGCCCTGGGTGGGGGTGCGGTCTGCTGCTGACTTCTCTGTGCTGCTCCCAGGCTGGAGGGTCCAGGAAGGGTGAGAGGGGATAGTGGAGGTGAAAGTGGAAAAAAAAAACCCAAAAAACCCAAGGGGGTGGGGTGAGGAGGGGGAACCACCGGTTCACAAATCAGCACTGAGACCCGCCTGCCGGCTCCACTGGACCCCGGGGCTGTGCCGCAGGGAGGGAGGCGGGAAGCTGCTGGCAGGCTCTGGGCTGCCCAGCACAGCCGAGCCAGGCTGAGGCTGGGACGCTGCAGCCCACTGGGCAGGCCCCAGGTCCTCAGGCTCCAAGAACCTTGAGCACTCTCCTCGTGAAGCATGGCTCCTAGGTCTTCTCTTCCCGATCTGTTTTCCTCCTTGTTATGTTCCTGGGCTTAATTTTCAAAGAGAGTTCCCATAGGGCCTCCTCGGCCAAGTGGTCACTGAAGTCATTGAAGAAGTTTATAATGTCATCATTTCTCCGGATGTCGTAATGCCTGGTGGGGGAGGGGAGGCAGTCAGGAGCAGGGGTTGGCTGAAGAGCCTGATGGCCATAACCTCTGGTCACCCCAGTACCCCGGCAGAAGCTGTAATGGTAGGGTCTACTGCCACCCAACGAGACAGAGGAGGCCAGCACTGGAGACCCCACCAGGGCTGAGGCTGTGCTCTCAGCCCTCAGGCAATGCCCTGTGGCAGGGTTCCCCATGGGGTGCCCCAGGTGGATGGCCCCTTGGGCCATGGTGCCCTCTGTGGCAGGCCGCCCGTCCTAGGTGGGGTCTGCTGCCCTGGAGTTAGGCTGGTCGGGGTTTCCCGCCTCCTCTGTACACCAAGGTGGGTGCCAGCTTCCCAGGACACAGGAACAGAGGCTGGCTGCTGCCTCCCATCCAGGCCCAGGGTGCGGCATGGAGCCGGGCCCTTCATGTGGATGTCTCCAAACTGGACTGACAAGACCTGAGGGGCAAGTATGGTATCCCCACTCAAAAGACAGAGGCCCTGGCTTCCCCATAGGTCACAGCACTCACGCCTGCTGGAAGCACCGCATGCTGTCGAGGATGTTGAACTGCTGCCACCGTTTGGAAAAGTTCACTTTGCCATCGATGTAGTCCGGGTTCCCCAGGTGGACAAAGGTCAGGTCCTGCAGGATCAGACCCCTGGGGGACACACGGAGAAGTCATTACTCGGAGAGCAGCTGGTCGGCCGTGAGCGGGCTGCACTGCCAGGACCAGCCAGTGTGGGAAGAACAGCCTCAGCTATGCCAAGTAGCTGCCAAGCCCAGGGCTCACCAAAGAGCAGGACTAGAAGGTTCGTTTCCTCCAGGGTGAGCTCCTGCCTCGTGAACTCTGGACCTATGACCACTTATGGGCTCCTCAGAAGTTGGCTCGGGCGTCGGGGAGCCTAAGCACAGTGCTGTCTACGCCTGGAGCGTTGTCTATGACAGGTGCGGCCACCCTGTGTATGGGCACAGCTATGGACTGCCAATGTGAGGTCATTCAACGAACAATACCACCAAACCAGACCAAAACTGAGGGGCACAGAGACCCCTTCATTAACAGGTGTAATAGGTACTTCTCAAGGAGGTGGAAGGCGAGGGCAGTTCCTCTGTCCAGAGAGAGCTCAGCCAGAGGACCCAGGCCTGTGTGCTTGTGAGCACCTGTGTGGGTGCTGGGTGAGGGCAGAAGGACCAGATGCAGGGAGAGGGTCCTGGCTGCAAGCTCTGAGGGCAGAGGCTCCAGGATGCTCCTTCACATCCCCAGGCCTGGAACACTGTGGAGTCTCTGACCCTTTCAGAGATCCCTAACATCCTCTAGTACATGAGGCCCAAGGAGTCCCGCGACAGAGGCCTGTGCAGCTTTGAGTCCACTTCCCTCTCCTATTTATGCTCTCAGATTTATGCTCCCATGGCTGGGCTGGGAAGTTGACTTCTGAACATGACACCAAGTGCTCCCCAGGTTCCTGGGGTGACTGGTCCTTGGGCTGTCCTAACATGCTTGAGGCTCCTGGAAGGTGCATGAGGCCCCCTGGTGGGGGGCGTGGGAGCTCACACTTGTCACCTGACCTTTTCCCTTCTGTGGCAACTGTAGCTCAAGAGGCATTCTTCACTTTAGAATTTCATGATAAAGCAGAGGAACAACAAGGCTGACCCTCATCTCCTCAAGGAGCCCAACATGTCTTCACAGAGAAGTGAAGAAGCAAGCCCAGACAGGCTGAGGGGGAGGCCAGCACTCACAGGTATGGGATGCAGGGGGGCTCCACCTCTGAGAGGGCGGCCCGGTAGGCTCGGAAGGAGGACGAACTGTCAATCAGAGTGCAGTACTCGGCCAGGCCCTGTGTGGGATGAGAGGTGGGTTAGTGAGTGTGGGCTGAGGCAAGGTCCCAAGACACAAAGAGAAGCCACATCTGGTCCCTGTGGTGATGTGAGCCCTTTTACCTGTATGTCTATCAAACCTGGGTGGCAGGGAGGCCCGAGGCCATTTTGTGGGAAATGTCTCTTGGGGTGAGTGGGTAACATCCTCCCTTTCCCTCCAGCGCTTGCCCTGCAGGTGTGCCCCGCCCAGCAGCCCTTCCAGAAGCTGGGACCCAGGTGTAGGCTTGCAGTGCAGGCAGGATGTGACACCCCATGTCAACTACGAAGGCCCAGGAACTAGAGGTCAGAGACCAGAGATAGGAAACAGGTGGGGAAGGTAGCTGCCTAGCTACAGGTTGACAGCAGAGCAGGGGCTGAGCTCACAGGTGGCTGGCCTGGCCTACCCACCAGATGCTTCCTGCCCACCCACCTCTGAGGTCTGCTTCTGCCACTCCAGCCGACGGATGGGCGCTGAATCCAGCGCTGAGAGGATGGCCAGGTAGGAGTTGAAGTTATTTAGCTTCCGCAGGTGCTGTGGAGAGAGGTGGCCTGTGAGGGGAGGCCCAGGGCCAGCAGGCCTGAAGGGGGCTCTGGGCTCAGCCACCGTTACCTTCATGATCTTGATGAACTTTAAGAGCAGCCGCTCCCTGTCCTGGGCTTTTTCCTGTAACATGATTATGGACCGGACCCTGTGGGAACAATGGACAGAATAGAGCAGCTGAGCTGATGGGGCTCCTGTAGGTCCTGGCAGACCAGGTGGAGCCAGAAAGGGTGACACTGTACCAGCAGTCATGAACCTGGCCTCAAGTGGCTCAAGACATCTCAGGGGTCGGGGCCAGATGCTCACTGACAGGGAGTTCAGCTCCTGCACTGGACCTGGGGGAGCAGCACACTTTCCTGGTTTGTACTGACCTGAGCCCCTGGGGCCTCAGGACTGGCTGGGGAATCCAGCCAACCCCAAGTCAGCAGGTCACTTTTGCTAGCCACAAGGAAGGGAACCTCTCAGAATCTTAGCCCCAACAAAAGCTAAAGCTAGAACTGAAACCAACACCAAAAGCAGTCATGGCTGTGTCTCAGGGGTCTGTGGTGGCCTCCACATCCTATGGATCATGTGGGCCCGTTTCCAGGGCTATCAGAGGAGGTGCTAGCCGCTGCATTACCTCCTCTGTCCTATAAAAGGGCACCTGCACCAGGACATCTGGGGGACTGTGGTAATGACCAGGGCAGGACAGCAAACGTGATGCCTGTCCCCTTCTGCCATTGAGGGCAAGTATCACTCAAGACCCTGGCACTCTTCCCACAGAGCTTCTGTGCCTCCTCTGTGCCTCTGGAGGGCAGGTGACCAGCCTATCCTTGCCTTCTCTGCTCCCCAGGGCTTGAGGTTAGTGCCCGCAGGGCCTCCAGAGGAGCCTGGAGGAAGGACGGCAGCAGCCCCCACCCTGCCGGCTCTCGTGGGAGACTGAACTTGTCCAGTGGTGCTGCCAGACCGGCGAGCTTGGCGCAGAGGCTTTCTTACCAGTAGGACATGTTGTTGAAGTGCTCTGTGAACTGGGTCAGGTTAGGGCTCTTCTCCTCATTCTGTTCTTTTGCCCAAAGTAAAACCTCAGGAATCTACAGAAGGAAACAGAGCAGACAGCACTGGAGCCCTCTGGCTTTCCTGTGCCTGGTGCTCTCTTTTTTTTTGGTTGGGGGGATGGTTGCTGAGGATTGAATTCAGGGGCACATGACCACTGAGCCACATCCCCAGCCCTGTTTTGTATTTTACTTAGAGACAGGGTCTCACTGAGCTGCTCAGGGCTTTGCTTTTGCTGAGGCTGGCTCCTCAGCCTCCCGGTCCATTGGGATTGTAAGCGTATGTCCTGGTGCCTGGCCTTGTGCTGTCTCGGTCAGAGACAAACCAGCAGCAGCTCCCCCGACACCTACCTCTATTTTATAGAAGAGCTCAGCATCCAACAGTGTCAGCTGCTCGGCTATTTCATGACTGTGAAAGTCATGCAAGGTCCCTGGCCTGGAAGACAGAGGCATAAGAAGTACTGTTGGGCGTGGAGGCTGGGCAGGAGTGGCACTGCAGGCTCCAGGGCTAGGAGGGAGCAGCTATCTAAGCCTCACTCCACATCAGGACAGCAGGGTGGCAACAGACTCCAAATTGCTCCTTGGTCCCTCAGGGCCATGAGGTTTCCCCAAGAGGCCTGCCTACCCCATCTCTGCAGGTCGTCCACAGATTCCAGAATAGGACAATGAGTTCCCCCCATGGGATTATGGGTGACTCAGACACCTAAGGCCTTGCTTACCACTGGCCACCACTCCTAGGTGGTCAGCAATAAGAGCTGGCTGTGGGAATGGGGGGCGCTAATGCTCACAAAGGAGGGGGTGGCCAACCAGCCAGTGCCCACAGCTGGAACTAACACTCCACCCTCAGGCTAGGGCAGAGGGTAGGCAGAAGCTCGGGACCTTTTTGTTTAAAAATAAAATATATATTTTTGGCTGACAATGGACCTTTATTTTTTAATTTATTTATATGCAGTGCTGAGAATTGAACCCAGTGCTTCACACATGCTAAGCAAGCACTCTACCACTGAGCCACAACCCCAGCCCCAGCCTGGGACTTTTGTACCAGTCTTGGGAAGGGTCTAGATGGTGCTAGGAGAAAGCCCTGCACTGACAGCAGCCTGGTGCACACCCACTCCCCTCCTGTCCTGCTCAGCCCCGCTGACCCACTGATCCACTTCCTTGTTACCAATGACTCGCCACCCCAATTCCCCTAGCAGGGGAGGCTCCCCACAGGGAACCAGAGGCTATTCCCAAGGCACCCCGAAGCAGGATGTGAGGCCGTGCAGCCGGGGAGGACAGCAGAACAGAGGTGGCTAAGGGATGCAGCTTTCCAAAGGGGCCGAGAGGCTGACTGCTCACCTGGCTGCAACACCCCGGGCTGCCAGGGGCTGGTCGGAGTTGGCACACCTGAGCAGTCTCTTCTGGTCCACCTTGTCTAGGATGTTCTTCCGGAGCACGCGAGCCAGGCTGAGCTCCCCATTGCACACCAGGCGGAAGACCAGCTCCATCAGCAGCTTCAGGATCTCCTCTGTCAGCTCCACCAGGCTATGGGCCAAGGGCACAGGGTGAAGGCCAGGCACACAAGAGCCCACCAGGTATACCGCAGGTACAGGAGTGTTAGCACAGAGCTGGAGCCTCCCATGGAAGAGTGAGAAAGGACCTCGGGGCACCCACATCCTCCGCAGCTCTGGTGGCATGGTCCTGACAACATTTCCCTGACTGTCACTCAATACATGCTGGCGCTGCATGCACTATGTGGGGACTCTGTGGGGCTGTGCTAGAGACCAGAAGCTTCTGGTCTCACCCAAGCAGTGGACACCAGGAAGATATCCCTCACCTCCTCTGCCTGGCCCTTCCCTGGATGTGTGGCCACTGCATGTTGATGCTGGAGCCAGGCCTTGGTCTGTCTTGTTTACCTCCAACCCCAAGGCATACTTGTAGAATATGGAAATGGCCAGGGGTCACCATAGATCCCAGATCCCAGTGGAAAGGCTGAGGTGGGTGGGAGAGGCTGCCCACTCCACTGCCCTAGCCTCTACCAAGCCCCCTACTGTTGAGAGTACGGCCAACACAGGCTGATCCTAAGATGTTGGAGGGAGGGATGGTGCCAGGTGGGACAGGGTCTCTCCTGAGGGATGGAGCCCATTAGGAAAGATAGGACCTAGTACCTCATTGTGTCCTATAAGGGACAGGTCATTCCTTTCAGAGAGCCACAATAAAGTAGGCTAGAGCCAAATCCAGAGCCTGTGGGTAGTGCTCTTCAGGTGGCCGAGGTGGGCTGAGCAGTCTCCATGGGGTGCAGGGAGCCTGTGCCACCCACCCCTGGGCCAAGAACAAAGTACTCACCAGAGCTCATCCACCACCCGCACCAGCACGAAGAACGTGTTCTTGCTGACGCGCTTCTTGAATGTGTCGGCGAAGGGAGAGAATTTCTCATAGGTGGAGAAGGGTTAAAGAAATAGCCCACATGGCAAAGGTGATGTGCTGAGCAGACACGGAGCTCCCACTCAGCATGCGCCAGGGACCTCGTGACTGAAGCCTAGAGACTGGGAGTCATGGTCCCAGCACAGGGAGCAAAGGCTTGCACTTATGCAAATTGGCAGTGCTGCCCAGGCCTCAATCCCAGGGGTGGTTCTCAACAGCCATCCTCTCTGGTCTGCAGGGCCATCCCTTCTGTGCCACCCCAGCTTGCCTGTCTGATTCAACTTGAGGCTTCTGGGAGAGCACTGACAGCATGAAGGCTGTAGTGCTGAGCCTCAAGAAGGTGGTCCCCAACTAAGCACACTCAAGATCTCAGGCCCGTGAACGGGCAGAGGTCCTCTGCTCTCTCCATGAGCTGCCACCCCGAGGTGGACCCCTGCTTTGGCTTGGACACTCTGACATGCTGGGCCAGTTCCTGCTCCCCGGGACAGCACACTCCCTGTTTGCTCCTCGGCTCACGGCACCCTTGGTTCCCATTCCTCCCTCACAGGTCTCCTGAAGCTAGCGTCTGCCTTGGAGTTTATGCTTTCCTGCTGCTGTTGTGCGCCCCCCGTACTCCACGACTGGAGATACATGCTATGTGTCTGGCACCCAGGTGGACCGTCAGCCTGCCCCAGCTGTGTGCTGGGCAGCCATGCTCCCGCTGCTGCTGCTGCTGCTGCTGCGAGGCTTCCATGAGCATCCCTAGGGGAGCCAAGGGACATCCCCTGAGAACCTGAGCACTCTCTGCACCAGGCAGCCATGTGGGACAGTCACTCTGACCCACTGCGCCTCAGCGTCCTCAAGTGCATCACAGGAGTGACACAGCAGCACCAGTGAGTGCATGTCCGACCAGCAGGTGACTCTCTTCCCTGGCCAGGCCTGCCACCAGGGGCTCAGAGCAACAGAACATAAGGCTGAAGAGGACCCCCCATACACCATGGGAAACGTCAACATCTATCTTGATGGACCAGGGGTTCGCAGGGTCAGGGTGAGGGGAGGCCTGGAGGGGACTCTGACACTGGAAAAGAAGCTCAGGACTTCTTGCCCAGAGGGACAGCAGCTGCCCAGCAGATGGCAGTCACAGGCTACAATGCAGGGAGGTAGCCAAAGAGCAGTGGGCTAGCCTGGCAGGACAGGCAGCTGGGGTTTGACAAAGAGGCATCAGGCAACCACAGTAGGTCCTTTAAGCCCCTGGGGTCTTCCTTGGCCACTACTTCTTCCCAAGGGTGAGCCCACAGGCAGATCTGGTGGAGGGGACAGAGCTGATGCCAGCTCTGGCTGGGGCAGAGCTGCCCGCTGTGGGCGGAAGGGGCTGTGCATACCCCTGAGCCACCCTCTCACTTCCTCAAGCCCTGCCCACTGGTGCCCACCCTGCCTGATGCCCTGCATCTTGCCCCGGCCCCCTTCCCTCCTAGGTGTGCTCTTTTTCAGAAGCACCCAGTGATCCCACTACGTTCCAGCAATCCATGTCATTTCCCTTGGCCCTTTATGGGTGAGTAATGGGAGGGGAAGCCACTGAAGCTGCGAGAGCCTGTGTCCCCATGCTGGTGGCGTTGGGAAGGATATCGGTACTGCAGTTTCTTGATGAGCTCCTCGGGGCTGATAAAGGTCCTGTAGGTGGTCAGGAAGGCTTCGCAGTACAGCACCAGATCTGCCGGGAGTAAGGGAGCAGCTCAGTTAGAGTGCAGGGGGGAACTGAGGGCTTGGGGATATAGGTGAGTCTGCCTGTGTCCCAGAGGAAGCCACCCACACTCTGTCCAACTCTCAGGAGAGACCAGTGGACCTGTGTTTCATTTCGCAAGCACCTTCTTCTAATGACAGAGCTGTCTGGGCAATCATGTTGCAGTGGGGTCTGAGGCCAAGTCTGGTCCCAGTTTCAATCATGCCTTCCTTGGCAAGGGGCAGAGACTGGAGACGCGGCTCCAAGATGCAACCCTGGGTTAGTACTGGAGGGCTTGTCTGCCCTCAGGTTCAAGGACTCCAAGTCTTAACAACCATGGTCAGGGAGAAAACAGTCCAAACTTGTCAGCAGGATCTTTAAGGTAAGTCAGAGGCAGTACGGAGATGGCAGGGTTTAGTAATTAAAAATCTGGGGAAAGTCCATGTACCGAGTCTTTAAGGCAGCTAGAGGCACAGCTTAGCAGTTTGTTGAGATATACCAGTGGGCATGCTCAGTTGCCTGGGAAAGGCAAGGTCAGCTACAAGGAGCACAGACCCAGTGGCCGGGGGACCTGGGCAGACAGTGCCCACCCCTCTGCCCCTCCTTAAGTGGTGCTGGTCCCAGCCAGGGACTTCAGACACTCTAGAGTCCCCCCAGTCTCATTTGTGTGCTGTGTGACTCATCCTCCAACCATGCTGTCTCTGACATTAAAGAAAATTGAGGGCAGTTTTTAAATTCTTAAATGAGACAAAGGAGCTGGCCAGGCTCCGGCCTACAGAGCAGAGCCGAGCCAGAGCAGTTAAGGAGGCCTGGCTCGTTCCCAGCCCACGACCCTCAAGCACTACTTGAGTTTTTTTTTTTTTTTTTTCAACCAAGAGATTTTATTGGGGGGTCTGACTGAAGGAGAGGCAGAGAGCAGAGAGAGAAGAGGAGGAGGGCAGAAAGAAAGGGTAGAGAGGAGAGAAAGAAGAGGAAGAGGGCAGAGAGAAAGAGAGGAAGAGGGCAGAGGACAGAGAGAAGAGAGCATGTGCTTACAAGCTTTGGCTTAAGAAGGGTTGCATAGGGGATGTGGTGGGTGCTGATTGTCAGGGTGACTCAGGAACAGCAAGGGGACACTGTGTCCTATGGGGATTGGTCAAGAGGAAACCTTTGAATTCAGTGCTCTTGGCTTGGCTCTTGGCTTGGTGCCCTTTGGAGAGGAAGGGGAGGGGTAAGGGATTCAGTGATGTTTTTGTGAGAAGGGGGAGTCTCCCACATACCCAATATTCCTCCCTTTTTGTTTTTGTGTTGGAAGTAGATTGACTAGGGTGACAAAAGTTCTCTGGCTACTTCCTGCTGGAGAGGGACAGGACGAGTGTGAAGGAAGGGAGGGATGGTCAGGGTGCGGGGACAAGAGAAGCATTGCTGTAAAGGCTGGGGTGCTGAAGATGTGAATTTCCTTGGGGCCAAAATTGATGAAAGTTCCTCGAAGCCATAGGTCATGGATAGTCTCCATCCAATTCTTGTCCCTGCAAATGGGGGGAGTCAGCCAGCTGTCCTGTCGGAGGACCTCCGCAAACTCCACGATCCAGGTGCACCACTTGATGAGCCAGTTTGTAGGCCAATGGTGGATGCGAAGTAGGCGATGGAGAAGATGGGCACAGGCTGGTCTCCGTTCAGGTGGTGATCTCCGATGGGATGGGGGTCCTGCTAAAGGCAGGGGAGCCCCATCCGAGTCAGGGCACCAATAAAAGGTGAGTGACTCACCTGAGACGGAGATTCAACCAAGAGATTTTATTGTGGGGCTGCCCCAAGGAGGGGCAGAGAGCAGAGAGAGAAGAGGAGGAGGGCAGAACGAGAGAGAAAGGGTAGAGAGAGGAGAGAAAGAAGAGGAAGAGGGCAGAGGGTGGAGAGGAAGAGACTACTTGAGTTTTGCTTTCTGGGCAAACCAGCTTCTAAGACCTTCTTACAGGCATCCTGTGCTTTCTGGAAGCAGGAATCTTGAGGCATTCCACTTGTCACAGGCATGTGGCACTTTGCCCTGCCACCCTTGAGGCCAGATAGGGAGGAAAACTCTCGCCTGCTCCTGCGTCGAGGCCTTGTGGTCCAGTCCCCTGCCCCATGCTTAGGCTCCTCCCTGGACCCAACCTTCCTGGCTCACTGCCACATTTGGCTTTATGTTCAGAGTGGCTGGGCATGAAGCAGAGATGGGGCAGCCACACCAACGCCGCTTCTGAGAGAACCGATCCAAGCCCACACGGCACTGTGGGGGAGGACCACTGCCAGGAGCCAAGGTGGCCTCTTGTGAGGAATGTCCCAGGACCTGCTGCTGAGCACTGGGCCATGCTCTGTACACGCACCACATCCTTCAACACCCAGAGCAGCCCCACAAGGGCGTTACTTATTATTCCACTTAGGAGACAAAGAACTGGGCCTGAGGTCACGGCACCATAAATAGTGTGGTAAGGCTTGTATCCAGGTGCCCAGCTCCAGAGTTGCTAGCCATCTGCTGGCCTTGGGCAGTGGTAAATGGGGTGTCCTCTAGCTTCTGGGACAAGCAGCTCTGTGCCACTCCCCGGTGTGCACACAGCTTTTTTGGGGTCCCTTTGTCCCTTGTGTTCTCCTGAGGAAGCCTGAGGGCTAAGCAACAGGTCTGGCACACATGGTTCCTGAGGATGGACAGGATCTGGAGTCTGAGACCAAGCCTGACCCGGCCCTCTCCTGAGAAAAGTGCCAAGTGATGACAAGGGTCTCCCTGCCTATCTCTTCCCGGTGAGTCCCCCTGGCGCAGGCTGGGGCCCAGCTGTCTCTGAGGCAGTCACTGGTGCCACTGGGACAGGGGCTCCTAGCCAAGGAGACTGCATCATTACCTGCCCTGTGGCCCTGCTCTTCCCAGTGTGGCCTCTGTCCCAATCATACTCCTAGACATAAACAACCTTGGCTCTTCCAAGTCCAGATCCTCCCCCAGTACAAGTGGGTGAAGCTCCAGCTGAAGCAGTCATCTCCCCCAGCAGGTCTGGCTGGCCTAGACTGAGAGGATCTTGGGCTCTTGCCCATGGTGCCCTCTGGAGGGGCTTCCAGCTGGCTGCAGCTGGCGGGACAGGACCAGAATCAGCTCCCATTTCAGCCCTTCACCTCTGGACAAAAACAACATGAAAACTGCCCCTTTTGTGGGACTGAGGACAGAACTCTAATGTGTCTGGCATGGAGAAGGGTCTACAGCACCAAAGCCACATGAGGGTTGTCCCTGGAGATGGTGGCGAATAGCAGGCCTGTACTAGCTTCAGCTACACACGCCCCATAGAGCTACCTGCAGAGGCTGGAGAGGGAGGACTGACCAGCAGCTGCCCACAGGCCACCCAGCCTACAATGGGGCTGGGACTCCAAGTCCCTGGACCATGGTCAGAAGAAGTGCTGGAGGGCAAAGCAGTGGCTGTGGTGCGGGTGAGCTGGTTGGAAGCCACTCTTCTTTTTCCCAATTTCTCAAAATTTCTGCCAGGTAAACCTTTTTTTCTTTTTCTTTTTTTTAAAATATTATTTTCATGATTCAGAGGTTTCCTCAATATTACTCTATAAAAATACAGATGGGGCCATTTATAAAAACAAAGTTGGTTGGGTTAGGGTTTCAAGACTGGGGTGTTTTTTATTCCTTCTCCAATGTTGTTATATTGTCCTTTTAATAATTTTTAAAAATATAAATAGAAAAGGAGTGCAGGAGACACGGGCCAGCTGGGGCCCTGGGCCAGGAACCACGTGTGCCAGCCTCCCAGGCCCTCATTTTTCTGCCTTCCACAGCAGACCTGGAAGGACAGCCCTTCTATAGCAGGACATTCTGGAGACAGAGGGTCAGTCCCTGCTTCTGCAACCCTCCCAAACAAGTAGGTTGTGGAAGGGTATTGGGGCTGGGCTGGGCCTGTGCTGGGGGAGCCCAGCTGTGAGCGAGGGCTCCTGAGCAGAGCACCAGCCTGCTCCCAGAGCATCCTGATGGGCACACGAGTCGCGGCCTAGCTGGAAGGCTGGAAGGGCTCATGTCCATGAAGACAGCGAGCCATGCAAGTGCCATCTTGACTCTAATGCCACTGTTCCACATGCTACTGCCCAAGCTGTGGTCTGTGGGGCACACGCTAGGTGCAGCAACTATGCTGACCCTCGGGACACCCTTGTAGGCTCTAGGACACCACCATGCTGCCCTGAGGGAGGACGCTTGGTGGGCTGAGTGCTGTTGTTTGTGTCCCCTCCCCTGCCCCAGCAGTGCCAGTGCTCACTCAGATCTACTGAATGATGAGTGCACGGGGGACCTGCAACCCCACTGTGACAGGGCCTGCTGTGTCCAGCAGGAGGCTACCGTACCTTTCCTGTCCGTCTCAGTAGCATGAACCAGTAAGATGTCTCCAGATCCTCCACGTACATCTGGCCCATCATCTCCCTGGAGCGAAAATAGCAAAGGAGGGCATGGACCATTGCTGAGAGGAGGCCTCTGGCTGCAGGGGCCCCAGGCCTCCCTCTGCTCTCCTCAGCCGGCAGTGGTGTGTGCTGTGGAGCCACTCACCACTCTGTGCTTAGCAGATAGGGAGGGATGGGGCTGGCCTGGGCGCTGGACACCCCGAACTACCCAGATGCCACAGGCACCAGGGCACATCCCCTTCTTGAGTACATGCCAGGGCCAGGGGGACATGGTGTCACTCAACATGCCCAGCCACCCGCTCACATTTCCGTGGGTCAGATGTGAGGCGACATCTTCATGTGGAATGGTGGGGCCCACCAGAGGCAGGCAGGCCACCCTGCCTCCTCGGGAAAGCCTGTGGAGGCAGGAGGACTATTTCCAAGCATGTTCATGGTCCCAAAACTACAGCAAGCTGCCCTAAGTCTAAATCCACTTCCTGGGGAAAGAGAAATCACTTAAGTAGTGACTCATGTCACAGGTTCTGTGGGACCCTTCTTGAGGAATGTAAAGTGTTACAAAGACACCGCACGATACCCAATATGGCCTTTGCAATCACCAAACCCTGCCTGGCAGTGAGGGACCAAGTCCTAACTCCACGTGGGCACACAGGCTTCAACCACCTGCCTAGAGCCCAAAAGAACTCTCAGTGGGGCCCGGAGCCACGCCCAGGGCAGACACAGCAGCGCCTCACGCTCTGCCGCTCAGGAGACAGAACTAACATCTGCTGCTACCCCCTGCAAGGCACCCCTAGCTTTCTAAGAATCTGGTGTGTTTACCCTGACTCTAGAGCCCTAGGGTGCTCTGGGTTTTCCACAGTAGCAACGTCCATGACCTGACTCACTGGAAGAAAGCTAGTGTTTCTCTCTGTAGAGGGGCCAATTGTCCAGGTGCCCCCTGCCAGACCCGTTCTTGCCTTGATGCAGCCAGCTCAGCCTGGCCCAGGATAGTGCCACAGGCGGAATCTGCTTTATTGACCTGTCTGTATGTGGCTGTCATCAAATCAGCCCAGAAGACAGTCACCTCCTCAGCAGGTTGGGTTTCTTTATTTTTATTTATTTATTTGTGGTGCTAGGAATTAAATTGAGGGATGCTCTATTACTGAGCCACATCTCCAGCCCGTTTTGCTTTTAATTTTGAGACAGAGTCTTGCTGAGTTGTTGAGGGTCTAAGTAGCTGAGGCTGGCCTTGAATATATGATCCTCCTGCCTCAGCCTCTCAAGTAGCTGGGACTACAGGCCTGTGCCACTGTGCCTAGTTAGGGCAAGCTTCTTACAAGGCCAGTCCCGTGTCTGCAGCACTGCTCGGCAGAAGGGAGAGGCAGGGCTCACATGGCTCTGCTCCTTCCTCTATAGTGACAAGGCTGGGTATCGTCCTCATGTCTGGGCTCTGTAGAGCAGGACAACATGCAGGAGTCCAGGCCTGGCCTCTCCTTTTTCTTTCTTTTTTTTTTTTTTTCAATGGTGGGAACGGAACCCAGGGCCTCCCACGCATGAGGCAAGTGCTCTCCCATTGAGTCACTTCTCCAGCCCTAAGTTTTCCTAATCAGCTGGTGCATCCTGGGCAGGGGTTCTGTTTTATCAATGATGCACAGGGGTGGGGAGGGCTCCCGGACGGCAGGCAGGATGTGTAGCTCTGCTGTGGTTTCTCTCACAGCACTCTCAGGAGTGCCGTCATTAGGGCTTCGGGAGGCTCTGTAATGCCTAAGACACTTTCTAGAAGCAGTAAGAAAGGGGACAGTCCACTGCCTCCTGGAATCCACTCCTGCTGGGAACCCAACAGCCCTCGCCAAGTGTCCACACCTTGCCTGGCCCAGGTCTTTCTGCTGGAGACACTTCAATGTCACATTTCCTCAATCTCTTTTGCTCCTGCTTTGTGGAGCTGGACTGTGAAATCCTTACCTCTTGCTTGAGTGTCAGCCTGGCCATAATTTCGTTGTGGTCAATAAGGGACAGCTCATCTACTTCCTCCTCCGACTGAGCTGACTCCAGAGTGTCAGGTGACTTTGGGGACCTGGGGAGAGAAGTGGTTGGTGCTTAAAACAGGCCCTGGGCTCCCTGACACCCAGAGGCCGATACAGCGCTGGCCTGGGCTTGAGGTCAGAACTATTCCTACTTCTGCTACCAAAAGCTGTGTGGCCTTGAACCTTTCCTGTTCCCTCTGGGTGTCTCACAGAAGGGCTTAGCTGGGATTAAGAGGTGCTCCTGAACTGTCTGTGTGAGTGATGCTGCAGCCCTTCTCTGCGAAGGCCACCGAGACCCAGTCAATACATGAGGAACAGTGAGAGGGCCAGCAGGACAGGAGAGGAGGCGGTATCGCCCCATACCACCCTCCAGGTCCTTCCTGAGGACTCACTCTGTTGGTCTCTTTGTTTGGCAATAAGAAAAAAGCTGATATGGCCCCTTTTCCCCAGGTGCTCGGTCTACCTGAAGACACTCTGACACAGGCAGTCACGAGCAGCACAATGAGGGGAAGCTCAGGAGTGTGCAAGAAGAGTGAGGGGAAAGAGGGGCTGGCTTGAAGGTCAGGAAGTTCCCTGTGGAGGGACAGATAGACGGAGACCTGAAGCACTGAACAGGAGCTGGCGGCTGAGCCACCAGGAGCAGGGACATCCCCACAGAGGGAATGTGGAGGCCACTGCGGCCGTGGGGGGAGCACAGCATGTCTGTAGACAGCCATCTTTTCCCTGGTGCCTTATCTGGATGGAGCCTTGGAGGCACTGGCCTGACTCGTGGTCACAGGTCACAGCTTTCACCCTAAGGGCTCAGACACGGGAAATATGTGACTCTAAGGGTAGAACAAGGCGGGCTTGGGAAGAACCCCTCTGCTGCCTGCCTTCCAGGCTCCAGGCTGTGGGTGGCCTCATGAAGGGCCATCTTAGTGGCTGCTTCTGGACTCGGTGTGACCTACTCTTTTGCAAGGACCATCTCAGCTCTGAAAGTAAATCCGCTGGTCCAATGAAGTAGGTGAGAGAACTCACAAGCTGCTTTGCTTCTAAGTGCTAAGCTAGAAAACCACCATTCCTTGCTAAAGCCAGCCTGGGAAGCTAATCTGCTAGGACCACCTAGGACTCCAGGGTAGATGGTCCTTGGCCGTAAAAGGGGGGAAAAACTTGAACAGATGGAATGTGTCACGATAGAGGTGACATCAACATAAGGCTGCAGGCAGAATGCAGCCCATTTGTTCCCAGAAGTGCTGGAGAAACTGACTACACGTCCTAAGCCTGGTTGGGCTTAGCTTCTGCTAACACTGAAAATGTTCCGAAAGAGAAAGAAATAGCTAAATAGACTGCATGACTCTTGACTGATCTTAGTTATGAAAATTTGGGAGAATGGAGGAACTGGAACATGATTTGCCTATCATGATGACATGAGGGAATTTACTGGCAATTTTCTTAGGTGATAATGATATTGTAATCAGGACGTTTTTGGAGGCCAGAGTCACAGCTTCTGTAGCTTCCTTCAGCATGGTTTAGCAACACAATACATACACATAGGTCTAGCAAGGTTCACAAAAACAAGTCTGTGGGTGGCAGGGGTGGAGGCCTTTCATGCTCCCAGGGGACCTCAACTTGGAAAAAAAAAAAACCACTAAGGAAGGTTGGCCTGAGATTTAAAAAAGAAAAGGCAAGACTATCGTGGGTACTTTGGAAGGTGGATGGCCTAGAGCAGCCAGGAAGGAATGGCAGACTCCAGGGGAGCACCTTTGAGGTTATCAGTGATTTTTTCCATTTTCTTGCAGTTTCTACCAGAAGCATGTATTATTTTTGAAAGCCATACAAAGAAATACCTTCAATACGAAACACAAGCAGGCCTGGTGGGCTGGCTGCAGGAAGTGCAGGCAGGCTTTACCAAGTGGCCACTCTGCTCTAGGCACCTGGCTCACTTCCTACCTCTCACCACCATCTCTGCTGTCCTTCCCAGGGGCACTGCCAACAGCTGAGGGATCTCTGGAATGTCCGTCTTTCCCAGCTGGCGATTCCTACAAAGAGAAGTGAGTGTTGGGGTTTAGAATGTGGCCTGCTCCAGGGGCAATCTGTCTGCCCAGCACTCCCACCTGCAAGTGGCTTTGAAGTGCAAGTTCCTATGGAGGAATATAAGGTGGGAACAAGTTAATACTGAATGCAGTTAATTACAAGACACATGGGCCCTCTTGAGACTAGCATCCTGCCTCAGGAGAGTGGAGGTGCATGCTTTGTAACATATCAGCTGCTGGGCAGATGAAGCCACCTTAATGCCCACCTGGAGAGAGAGGACCTTCTTAGCAGCTGCCTCTCAGAGCACGCTGGACACTGGGCAGAGGGCTCTGCACACACTCTTCTTCCGCCCTATCAATGACCTAATGCTACCCTCTTCTCTCATGTGTAGAAACAAAGGCTAGGGAACAAGGGCCTGACTGCACACAGATTGAAAATGGCAGAGCCTAGATGGAGCCCAGAGCTGTCTATCTCCAGAGCCTGTGCCCTAGGCCACTAGGTCCCAACACTGTGCTGTAAAACTTAAGAGAGTTTTTAGGGATGTGATGCTCAACAAGTGATACTCCCCAAAAGTCTAGCTGCTCAAACACTGTGTGACTATCCCCAGCAGACTTGCTGTTGCCCTGCTCAGTGACACCATGGCTCTACAACATCCCTGGCTGCCACCAAGGCTACAACGGAGAACTGGGACTGTGTTAATACAGGCGACATCACCAGGAGGGTGCTTTAAGGTGAGGGAAGTCAGGATGGTCCTGGTGGCACAGGTAACCAGAGGGGACAGGTGAGAAAGGCGCAGCAGCTCACTCCACGTCCAAGGTCAAAGCCCCTGGGTGTAAAGATCCCTCAGTGCTCTTTGACTTGCTGAGGACATCTCGATCCCTAAGGTCCCACAGCAGACTACCCCAAGGGAGTGGCCATGCTCTCCAGGGCTGGGCTGACCTCATGGTGGTCACTGATACAACTCTGATGGAACCTGTCTCACTCAGGCTCATGGGGACAGTGGCTTCTGAAGCTTCTGGACTTGCTCATTTTCATGAAGCCAAACTTGGAAAACTGACACTCAACAAACAGAACCAGTGCACTTTGACTGTCAAGAGCTGGGACAGCAACATGAGAGTGACGATGGCCAGGACTCCCAGGGACACTTCCTCAGGAACAGCTAGGTAGGAGCAAAGCATGCTGGGAAGAAGAGGACGGAGGGTCAGAAAGGCTGAGTGGGAGAAGCAGCCCTCCTACTGGGGCAGGATAGAAGATGGAGCTCACGACTAGAAGGAGGGATGGAAAGAAATCCCACAGAAAGCGACTTGCAGCCAGGGCCCACACCAGGCTGCTTCTGGAGATTTCTGGAAGACACACCTGGCCAGGCTCTGAAAAGCACCACACCCACTGAAGCAGGCAAAGGTGAAGACCTGCACCTAGAAGCTGCAACCTCTCCCTGGCTAAACCAGCTTTCCGCAGGCCTGCAGGGCTCAGCCAGACAGAAGCAGGTGCAAGGGAGGTGGCCTGGGGGGGCGGGAGCCAGCTCCACCAGGCTGGGCCACATGCACGAGGCCACCGTCCGAGGCTACTTACTCCTCGAGAGGGAGCCAGCTCCTCGCTGCTCTGGCCAGAGGAATACAGACTGACATATTCACCCTCACCAGCTTCCTCACTGGCGTTTTCGCTCTGGGGGAGACAGGATGAGAGGAGAGACGATCGGCAGGCCCTCCAGCCAGTCCTTGGCTCAGAGGGCAGCCAGCAGGTCTGGCCTGGACCTGGATGCTCCTTTTACAAGAAAGACCCAGAGCTGTGCTCTACTCTTTCTGGGAAGTGCTTCCCCAGGGTCAGAGGATGAAGCTGCTTTTGCCAACTCTTGTCTCTGGGCTTGTGGGGACCCTAGTTTTGACTGGATCTTCCCCACAGGTGTCGAGGGCATCCTGGGAATGGCCTTTGGTAGCCTCCAAAGGCAGGGAAAGAAGCAACACGTTTGACAACTTAAGGCTGGAAGAAGAGGAAGCCTCCTGTGGACATCCTCTCTGCCCCTCCACCTGCCCCCTCCCACCTGCCCTCCAGCCTGAAAGGAAGCTCTGCCCAGGGTTAGAGAGGAAGCACTAGGGCCATCCACAGTAAACGAGCCTCTCCCTGGCACCTCCTGGATCTCTTGACACTTCCTACTTCCAGAGGGGTCTGTGCCTTTCTCTTCAAACAGAACACCAGTTATCTATCTTATCCTTACCACAAGTTACTGCCTTTGTTTTATTTTTATTTTTGGTACCAGGGATTAAACTCAGGGGCACTCAGCCACTGAGCCACATCACCAGCCCTATTTTGTATTTTATTTAGACACAGGGTTTCACTGAGTTGCTTAGTGGCTCGCTTTTTGCTGAGGCTGGTTTTGAACTTGCGATCCTCTTGTCTCAGCCTCCCGAGCCATTGGGATCACAGGTATGCACCACCCCACCAGGCATTACTGACCATTACACTAGTCCACGAGGGGAAACCAGGTTCCTAGCTGGATGGTAATGTTGTGTAAGAGCCTTGATTTCTGTTCTGAAGCAGACGGGCTGCTCTTGCACCCCGACCTTCTGTGGCTGTCAATCCAGCTGGGTGCCAGCAGGCACACCCCAGCAGCAGGCTGAACTGCTGGTGAGGAGCAGCGACACCACTTCCTACCACCGCGCAACCCCACGTGCAGCCATGGGCGTGCTGAGTTCTCACCGAGTCAGCGCAAGAGGTTTCGGAAGGAAGGCAGACAGTGTTCCCATGAAAGCTGCTCTCCTGAGAGGATGAGAGAGGCCCGGCCATGGTGCTGGGAGGCGGACCGGCTACGGCAGGCACCGCCAAGTCCGAGCTCTGAGACGGGTGGACAGGTGGGAAATGCGGAGAGGAAGAGGAGGTAGGCGGAAGGAAAGGTTGGACGGAAGCCTGGTGGTGAGGCACGAAGTCCTGGGAGTAGGACCTAAACACAGATTTGTACTACAGAATCAAAGCAGAAAACAAACACAAAAACGAGAATACGGGAAGGAGAAGACAGACAAGAGAAGAAGTCATTAGATTAGCTGTCTGCACGGCGGTAGGTGTTCTCACCAACTCCACCTACCAGGGCCAGCGTGCCAGGCCAACTCCTGCGTCCTCCAGCTCTGAGGCCCCACACCCATCACTGCTCCCCAGAGAGGGCCCTTGGGGCTGAGGACTGACCAGAATGGTCCCCCCCATTCCCTCAAGGACAGCAAATCCCACTCAGCATGCAGATGGCCACGCATTCCTCTGCAGCAGAAAATTAAACTTATACAACCCAGCCCAACACATTTGAGTGCTTCCAGGAACTGGGGGGCTGAATTCCATGCTGAACTGTATGTATCCATGGTGAATCTTTCAGACAAACCCCTTTGATTTATCCCTTAAAAGACAAATTCTGCAACCTTTTAAACATTGTCATCCACCTAAAGCCCTGTTAGAATGGAAGGGTGAGAGTAAGCCTTGAGTGGCTAGAAGCCTGCTGCCGAGGAGGCCAAAATGTCGGTGCGCTCACTTCCCTTCCGAGGCAGCCTCGTCTTCCCCTTTTCTTCCACTGCCTTGTTTTTAGACAAACGTAGCAATCTCACAGCACTTCCCATGCCACCCCAACTCTCATCAGACAGAAGAGCCAAACAGTAGACTGAGGAGCACCTCCACGTGTCCCCAGCTTCAGGTCTAATGAGCACTCCCCAAGGCCGGGATCTAGCTACCAAGCTGAGAACCTGATGATTTTGACATGCCCAGCAGAGACCTGCCAATGCGTGCTGACCCCCATGGGGACTAGGAGAGCAGTGATGGGAGGGACAGTGCCCTAAGTTTTCGCCCACCACACACGCCAACACAAAGGTGTATATTGCCCCTCTGCACTTGCTGTGGCCTGGGACTTTCGGAACCCATGGAAATCTGTGCGTGCTGCACACGCTGGCCTTGCCTGCAATCCAAGACAGGAGGATCACAAGTTCAAGGTCAGCCTCAGCAACTCAGAGAGACCCTGTCTCAAAGTCAAAACAAATAAAAATGGTTGAGGATGAAACTCAGTGGTAAAGTGCCTCTGAGTTCAATTCCCAATACCAAAATAAACAAATAAATAAAAAGGATGGGGGTAAAGTGCCCCTGGGCTCAATCCCCAGTACAAAAAGAAACAAACAAAATCCCCCTAAACAAAAACAAACCATGGAAATCAGGGAAAGGAAGAAGAGACAAAGGTGTAGACTAACAGGAGGTCGAAACTCTTATGTCCCTCAGTGGCTGTGCCAAGCTCCCCTTCAGCTTGGATGGAGCTACAGCAACGCGAGTCACAGGTTCGTCCTCTATCCACCATGTGGCAGCCCACCCGGTCATGCTCATCACAGCTCAAAGCTCTTCCTGTCCTCACCCTTAGGGAGGCCATGACCCTCTTGCCCTATGAGCTCCAAGGCTCTTGGTTTGTGTTGAACCTGGGACGCCTGCCCCAGAGACCCACACATTTCACTTCCCTATCTAATTCACCAACTCAAGGCTAGCCCTTGGCCATGGTTAAACAAATTAGTGGAAGTGCTGTGCAAGTTCTGACCAACCAATGCCAGACACCCCGACTCCTGTGGCCAGTGAAGCTCCATCCACATGCACCCACCTAGAGAAACAGGGAGCAGAGGCCCAGCTTCTCACCCAGGCTATTGACTCTCGCCCTGAGCCACAGCAGTGCCACACTCCCCTGAACCCTCCAGCAGCGTGTGGGTGGCTCCATAGGCCTGGGGACTCTGGGTTTTCTTGTTTCTCTGGCTGGGGTGTACAGTGTGGGAGGCTGCTCTGCGGGGACCTTGAAGGACTCTCAGGCCGTGGCTTTGTCCCCTGCAGAGCTGGGTTCTCAGTTCTGTTGGCTGCTCCCTCTCCAGAGACTGGTGCAGCCTCCAATCAGCAGGTACCTCTATGCAGCCACAGATCCACCTACTTGCTGCCACCTGGTTTAAGAGTTACCCCCAGGCAGACTCTTCCTGGAGTCCAGGGCAGCTCTCAGTGATGCCCTACCCTCACACCCACGGGCCTCACACCAAGCACCCAGACAGTAAGTGCCCTGTAGAAACAGCCCTGGCTCACAGACACAAATGGCTTTCGTGCAGCCTCAAAGACCTCACACTCAGGAAGCAGCTTCCAAGTGGATTACTGGGTGTGTGCGACAAGATTTGATATGGCAAGTTCAGGGTGGACTTCCACATGGACTTCTGGGAGAGGTACAGGGAACAGCTGGATGCCAGTCCTCAAGTCACCTAGGCATGGCTTGACCCCTTTCACCTTCCCACCTGTGACCTTGGGCAAGGGATTTAAGTTCATCTTTAAAATGGGGATGAAAATGACAGCACTTCAGTCTGTGGCCATTCAATAAAGGAATGTCCTGTCCTGCCCTCCAAATACCAGCATAGGAGCTACCATAAATCACAGGGTGAGCACTACAGAGCAGCCTGACACATATTTGCTAGATGAACAAACACTTAGAAACTGATTCTATTATTAACATGCCAAGGTCATGGCTGACCAGCAGCAGTGCTTCAGCTGTGAGTGTACAAGGTAAGGAAAAAGCTTTGCCACTCGCCTGGGCTCAGAGACCAGGAACAGAGGGAAGGAGGCTCAGGGATGTCACCAGGGAGGAAGGAGAAGAATGGAGAGATGGCATCTCTAGGACAAAGGGGCCTGGATGCCCTCTCTCCCCAGCTTGTATTCTGGCATTCCAGCTATGTGTTCGTGCTGGACAAGAGCCAGGCCTGAACGATACTGGACCTTGGTGGCGGGAGGTGCCAGGGAAGGCTCTTGAATCATCATGAAGTGCATCCTGGTTTCTTCACAGTTCTGAAGATGCCATGAGGCATGTTGGGGCTCAGAGTCACACCATTTTCAACAAGTCCGGGTTTCTATCATTTCCCTAGAGAAATACTTCCAGTCCCTTTGAGACTGTGCTCATTCCCAGGGGAGGGAGGATAGGGACGGCCACTCTGTACCACGCCACTCAGCCCCAGCCTGGAGGCTATTTTTGGCTAGTGCCTGGCTGTACTTTTGACAAGCTGCTGCTCTCTGTGCTGCAGGAATTTTTATTTATAGCCAAAGTGACACCATTTGGGCTGAAGATTCTAGAATACAAGGTGCTCCTGTCTGGCCCCTACAAACTTCTGCAGGAGATCTGGGGGTGCTAAGTTAAGTAAGCAGGTAGGATAGGGATGTAGTCAGTCAAAATGACAGCAAGTCTGGGCACGGTGGTGCGGGCCTGTATTTTGCAGTGAGTCAGTCAGGAGGATCACGAGTTCAAAGCCAGCCTCAGCAACTTAGTAAGGCCATCTCAAAACAAAAAATAAAAAAGGGCTGGAGGTGTAGCTCTTTGGCAGCATACCGCTAGGTTCATTCCCCAGCACCAAGAAAACAAAACTAGCAAGGACCACTGAGGACAAGGACTGTCACCCTCACTGAATACATCCTGCTGGGCAGATGAGAAGCTCATTTAACATGCGGGAACTGCTATTGTGATCCTTATAATGAAGAAATTGAGACCAAACACCTAATAACTCACAGCTAGCAAGAGGTGGTGCTGGGCTGGCCTGTACCACATTCAGAAGTTCATTCTGGGCACATGACCAGACCTTGCCTCAACCCCCTACCTCTGCAGAATACAGCCCACTGACTGCTTGGATCCTGAGTGCTGTGTGGTGAAGAGTGCGGGAAAGGCAGTGATCCATGGGTGCAGAGTGGGTCTGAGCCAGTGTTCCAGGGCAGACCGGAAAGGTGGAGGCAGAACCAGCTCTTCTGAGAACACAAACCTGGGAGTGCTCCTAAGTTGTTAAGTGAAAAAGAAGGTAGAGGCTGAGGGACAGCCTTCGATGCTCACTGTGAACAGTGTGTGAAGGTGGAGCCAACTGAAGCTGGTAGGCATCAGTTTCCTCTGCACTTTAGTCCTAGCATGAAAAAGGACAGGGATGGGCCGTGGTTGCCTTGGCAAAAAAGCAAAGCAGGAAAATTTATCTCCAAGTGAAAGTTCCTGAGTCCTCAATGCAACAGCCACTCCACTTAATTCCCAATGTTTAGGAAACCCCAGGTGTTAGGGAAGGCAGCCTTGCACCTGGGAGGTAGGGCTGGAGCAGAGGCCCAGGGACCTTGGCTAAGTGCTGCTTTGCAGGTACTTGAGCGCCCAGCCTTGCAGAGCTTCAGCTCTACCAGCAGTAGGGAAAGTGCTTTGCCACTGAATGGACTCCCTGGGCAGGTGAGCGCTAGGGAAGAGAAGCTGCCAGAGACTGGGTGCTGCTTGGTGAGCTGTAGCTCACCAAGGCTCAGGACATCAGTGCCTTTGGATGCACAAAACAGAGGAGCTATTGGAAAGCTGCTTTTCAGGCTTACAATTTTAATCCCTTGTTTGTGAGAAAACACACCCAGGAGAAGCTACTTTCCAGTGTGCCATGGGCTCTCCCTGTGAATTGCCAGGCACCACTGTCAGCACTGTCCCTGGCTCAGAGCATACTCCCTTCAACAGGGCTCACCAGTAGCATGATTTGTTCTCAAAGGGAACATCAGACCAGTGTCTCCCCAGGCGTTCTGCAGAGTTGCCTGGGGAGACACTGGTCTGATGTGTTCTTATGGAGATGGCATGTGATCATTCCTAGGAGAGACACTCCTTACACCATGTGGCAACCTGGAAGGAACAGCTCTGCCACTTCCTTTTCTCATTCCTGGTCCCAACCAGCAGATTTCAAAAGTCATCATGTGGGTCCACCTTGGGCCCAAAGGTAATACCCTTCCTTATAAAATGATCACATTTTATGTAATGACAGAGGATGAGCTTCCAAAGTCAAATGGCAAACTGTGAGGCAGATGTCGCAAGCTCCAGGGTCCAAGGTCTCTCACAGGCTGCTTATCTTGCACCCAGCAAGGAGGGCACTTGGGGATGCTTTTTTGTGGGAATGATGTCTGCACTAGCCAGGTGGCATTAGCATGTCAGGCCCAAAAGACACCCTCTTCCTGTTGGAACAAACACCTTAGTGGTTTAGGATGTGACAACAAAAATGTCATGCTTGGGAGGGTTTTCGGTAGTAAAGTGGCAAATGCAGAAGTAACATGTCTCTGCAATGTCACAGAGCTCCCTTGAGAGATGAATCCTTGCCCCAGGGCCCTTGACAGTTATCCTCCTGCAAACCTCAGGGCACTTGAGGGTGCTCTGTGTGTTCACCAAGTGCTGATCTGAGAGCATCAACTCTAGAGGAAATTTAATTCAGATTAAAATAGGATCCAAATGCAGTCTAGCCATCTAATGGGACTACTTTTACACACTTTGGAGTTCAGCAGCATGACAGGAGCTCTCACTTACTTATGCACAGAAGTCTACTTAGAGCCTTAGCTACCCTCGGTGAAGTGTCAGAACATGGTAGAGAAACAAGGCCCTCAATGTCCCTTTTCAGTCTGTCTCCTGTTCCATCTTCATCTCCCCACTTCCTGTTTGGCTTAGACCAATTGGTAGTCCCATGATCTTTATGATGGTTGCGAAGTGAATTCTCAGGGATGGTCATGGCCAGGAGGTTGGGCGGGGGGGTTGTGGGTACAGCAAGTGTGCAAGAGACATGGATGCACTGGAAGTGTCAGGAGCCGGCCTGGCTGGAAAGGCTGCCTCACAGTGAGGGGACAGCCAGGGCAGAGGCTTAGCCTTCTGAGAGTGTATGTGTGCTGCAGTACAAACACCTGGCTCCCCCATCTCAGGAAGGTGACTGCTGTACCTAGACAGGTACCAGCTGCTACCCAGGCCCTATAAAAACCCGAGGTCCTCACATGACACACCTTTCACTTTCTCATCCCAAAGATTCTTTTTAAACAAATAACAGTTATTTTGGGATATCAAATACCCTCTTGAAACGGGGATGGGGGGCAGTTTTACTCATGAGGACCCATCTGGCAGTCAAGATGGAAAAGAAACATGGCAGACTGCTGGAACACCCATCACTTTTTGCTAGCAAAGGGAGGAGGCATAAGAGGACAGCAAGAGATGCAGGAATACTGCAAGGCCTGGAGAGCACTGGCCACCCTGTGGTCCCTGAGACTCAATGATATCCTGGTCAAGGGAGACAAGAACATGGACCAAGCCCCAAACTTCCAAGATTTGCACAACCAGAGTTCAGAATAGGGAAAGGGCAGGTAGAGGAGACGGCTGGGAAACAGGATGTGGAGGGAATGGGTGAGGTGGAAACGGCAGGCAGCTCAGGAGGCAAGAGCCCAGATAGCCCTGGAGGGAGAATCTGCGACAGGGAGAGGGCAGAAGGCTCAGTAGCAGTGCTGCCTCTGGGAGGGGCAGCTTCTCCAGCCCCTGGGCCCCAGGAGACCTCGCCTGCTTCTCTCTACCTTCCTTGACTGCCTCTGTCACCCTCCCCAATGCCTTTGTCCTGTCGGTTAGTTTTAGTGCTCCTGCATGAGGACATGCAGAAGATTTAGATTTGGTCTGTGCTGCTGCTCAGACCTCCAAGGACTATGGCCCTTATCAGAAAAGAAAGGGCATCTGTGAGCCAGGAGCTAACACTCCACTGACTGAGGGAACTTGTGGGTGGGGCTGAGGCGGAGGGGAAGACGGGGTGCTGCCCAGGAGCAAGAACTACAGCCTGTCTCGAGCCTGACCTGCAGGCCTGGGTCACATGAAAGACTGGCCTGAGCCCATGGGCCATGCAGCAAGCTCAGTAAGTAGGTGGCACCCGAGGTGGGCAACTGGCTCTTCCCAGTGGAGGGTGGGAGGCTGGAACTGCCCCAGCCCCTCTGACTTCTCTCCTACAATCTCAATCCCTGGGAGCTTGCACTAGGGATGACCCTCCGCCCTTGAGGCAGGCTCTTGGCTTGGACACAATTGGCTGACTTCCCTGCCCTTCAACTCCCTGAAACCAAGTGTCCTTCAAGTTGTAGTTCCAGCCCCACCCCATGAGGTGCTGTCACCCTGATCTGCCCCCTCTGTGAGTCCCACACTACTGCTTACACTTTGCCAGAACCCAAGCCTGTCTGTTCAGCCTGCTGGACTGCAAGCTCCTCTTGGGCATGGGACCATCCGTTTTCACCCCTCTTGCAATTTCTGGGGACATCCCAGTGTGCTGGCTAAACCCTTCTCAGGGTCCTGGGGAAGAATGCACAGGAACACTCCTTCAGCTCCCACTTCAGCACATCATCCAATGCAGGTTTACTGCGCTACAAGTTCCCCTGGCCAGAGGGTTTCAAGGTTAGAAAGAATGTTTTAGTAGAAGGTACAGGTCACTGCACCAAGAACCGTGACAGGTCCCTCCAGGTTGGACAACTGTTGCATTCCCAGGGTGCCCCCCTGAATTCTATGCTGGACTGACACAGGCCCAGGAACATGGGCTGCACAGGGACCAAGGGCTGCTCTGACCGTGAGGCGAAACCTCATGCCTGGGCTCATGTTGATGTCTAATCAGAGACAAGGATGAGTAAGTTGCCCTCAAACGGAATCACTTCTCTGGGGTTCAGCAGGTTAGACGACAGATGCTCCAAACAGGCCACTACCAATGGTTCTCAAAAGACTTTTCTTTTAATGAAATGAAGCACCCGATTAGCTCAGCCTCCTCGGGCTCCCTCCTGGAGCTGGTGCTGAGAGGCAGTATGAGAGATGCAAGCTGCCTTAAGATGCCCTGTGTCCCATGGATGAAAACCAAGACACATGCATAACCAAGCTTAGTTAAAATGCCCTCGAATGTTAACATTCCAGTTCAGCCACAGTTCTCCAACCACTAGCTGCTCAGAGGGGCTCCGGAGAATCTCTTAGGATAACCCACACTTTCTGCCAACATTGTGGGAAGGAAACAGTCAAGAGCTGGGTTGTCTAACAGCCAACTTTTGTGCAAGAGTCATGGCAGCTTGCTGGAGGTGCCTCCTGAGAAGTCCAGGTGTCCGAATGGCTGCCGGGGTGGATTGGAGAGGGCAGTGCTTAGCTTTCCAGCACACCCAGGCTGCTGAGGGCTCTGCAGAGTGCCCAGCACGCCACAGAAGGTCCACTCCAAGGTCAGGGAGTGCTGACCTGGAATTGGGTGCTGGATTGCTATCCTGGGCACAGACAGACACCAGAGAAAACTGGGCTTGGTCAAGTTTCTCAATCCAAACTCACCATTTACAGAGGGTGGACTGGGGCAAGATCAGCAGGAATGCATAGGTATTTTGGTTCTTGGGCAGAGGCAGGCTCTGGGAGAAGCTGCGCTCTGTAGTGTCGGTAGGGAACTATAGAAATGGCTACAACCCTCCCTGTGCTGGCCTGGGCCAGAGCCTGCACCTCCCCCAGGAGGTGGGTCTCCTTCCTCCTCCCTGGATCTGGGCAGCCCTGTGATCTCACTGAGCACCTGTGACTGAAGTGATGCTGCGCAGTCCTAGGCTCAGGCCTCAGGGTGCCTTGTACAGTTCCACTGGTTTCCTTGGAACCCTGCCAGGTGCCATGAGAATAAGCCCAGGCCAGCCTGATAGATGTGACAGAAACACCAGCCAACTGTCCCAGCTGAGGTCTCAGAGATGTTAGCAAGTGTCGCCAGATCAGCCCAGCCATCCCACTAGCCTGTGTCCTATGCAATGACAAATGTGGTTTGCTAAGCCACAGAGTAAAAGCTCCCGAACATAGCCTCACCTCACTCTCACCTACCTGGTGATGCTGTTCTTTCTTTGGCCTTTCTTCCTACGTGAGGAATGAAGAACATTCCCTTTTAAACATTCCTGAACACTTGGAGGACTCACAACAGGCCCAGTGGGAGAGCAGAGAAAAAGGCCCAGATGGCTCTGTCCTCCATGCTGGAGTGCTGACGCTGCCAACGGGGCTGTGCAAAATTCCCCACTTCTGCCCACCCGGCAGCCGTCCATCCTCGAGGCCCCAGAGAATCAGTGCTCACGCCCTTTCCCACCTATGTGCAGGGCTCTGCAGAAGGAAGGGCCAGTGGTGGGCGGTAGCACCTGTGTCTGTGAGGCACAGGCTGCAGAAGAATGGAAGGTGCGCAGTTTCCAAGTGAAGAGCAGCGGGGAGTGACTCACCGAGGGCACAGGCAAGCTGCCGTGCCGGCTGAGAAAGGAGTTAGACACGGACACACTGAGGCCCTGAGTGGCACTGCCGTCCTCGGGGGTGAAGGCCACTTTAGTTTGCTGCACACAGTAGGAGACAGAGGAGAAGGAAGAAGCAGCATAGGAGGCCTGCTGGGCAGAGGGGCGAGAAAAGGCAGGGAGAAGGGAGAGAGCAGAGAACGGTCAGCACGCGACGACAAAGGCTAAGGAGGCTGCTCCCTAATCCTGCTGGCCCAGCTCAGGGACCAGAAGCTCTGCCAAGATTGAAGAAGAGACCCCTTTACTTCCTTATGACATGTCTACTAGACAAACTCTCAGGCAGACTGCAGCCAGGGGACAGGTGGGCTGGAGCCACAGATGTGGTTGACACTGGGCTCTGAGCTCCTCCTAGGGAGCAGAGCTCAGGTAGGGTCAGGCTGCCTGGGTTTGAACTTAGACCCTGCCACTGACCACCTGCTGGTCTTTGACATTCCTGAAAGACCTCAGTGCCTCAGGTTTCCCATCTATAAAATGGGGTATGCTCTGGCACTTCCTGCATGGGGTGTGGGGAGGACTCGATGAGATGTAGCCGAGTCTACCAACATGCGAGGCCAAAGTAATTACCTAAGTAATTACTGCTGCTGTTGTTGTCTGTAAGATGTGCCTAACGCCTCCCCGTGTACATTAGGGACAGGGTGTGACCACCAGCCAGCACGGCTTATCATGTGGTGAGCCTGAGCTTCTGTCAATGGGCTCTGATCTCTGACTAGCTGTGGCCTTGGGATGCCAGGGGCTGTGGTGAGGACCATGTGGAGCCACATGCCTGTGCCTGGGCCTGTCTGGGGAGGGAGGTGTTTGATAAGGTGTCCTAACCTCTCCTAAGGCTCTCCTGGGGCTAACTTTGCTCCCACGCTGCCAGCCTGGTGCAGCAGGCAGGATGCTCCCTTGGAGTGGCTTCTGATCCCAGAGGCCCATCAGGGATCTGCCTTGGGCTCCTTAGCAGGGAGAAGATGCCCAAGGACAGTTGAGGGAACATGGGACATATCTTTAATGTGTCAGTGGTGTGGGTTGGGCAGGGCAGGGCAGAGGAAGAATGGAGACCTGAACACAGCACAGCACACAGCTTGGCGCAGCAGGACTGGAATCCAGGTCCCCGAGTCCAAGCTCAGCCCCTCCTCTAGCAGGCAGGGCTGCTCTGCCTGTGCTGTCCACAGTTCTCGGGATGGACAACAGCCTGCTCAGCCAGCCAGTGCCCACCATAGATAGGATGGCTCAGGACGCCGGGAACCAGATCAAGCACCAGGTGGCCACCAGGAGTAACCAAGGTTGTTTGTTCCCAGCTGGCAGCTGCCTCCCTGAAAAGGGGGCAGCACCATGTCCTCACAACGGATAGGTTATAGCTGGCCAGCATATGAGCAGAACAGCACAGGCCAAGGTCAGGGTCTGAAAAGGTCAGGACATCCCTCTGCAGAGTGTGGCTGGACCTGAGTCTCAGACTCTCAAGTCCCACCAGGTTTGTAACCTGGTAGTAAAAAGAAGGCTGAAGCCCTGGGGTACGTGGCTGGCCTGCTGGGCTGATGCTGAGTGAGGTCTCGGACTGTGGCAGTGGCCTCCAGCGGGACACTCTGCCTTCTGCATGACTCGTGCTTCACTCCCTCTCTGAGATCCTTGACACAGAGGTGTTTTAGGAGGACAGGGGCCGTGTCTGCAGCACAGAGCAGCTCTGTCTAAGGCCATCCTGCTTCAATGGAGCTTGTTCTCATGGGGCCATTCCCGGCCAAGGGCTGGGATGCAAGTCACTCCATACAGTTAGGCCCATTATGGAAATAAAGTCCACAGATGGCCGTACACAGACCATGCCCTGTGCTTTAATTGAGTCCCTCCTTTCTGGGAGGTCTATGTTGGAGCCAAAGAAGAAAGAAAAAATACAAGAGACTGTCAGCAGAGAAAGCAAACATTATGTGTACAAGCCCATCCCAGCTGCATGGGCTGCTCTGGAAAAGAAAGGCCCACTACGCCTAGGGTGGGGAGATGGAAGGATGTGAGACAGGCTGCCGGGGAGCATCTTGGGGGGGAAGAGAAGGAACAGCAACTTCAACACCCAAGCCCAGGCCCTGTCATGGACAAAATGGGGGTTGAATTACCCCCAGGAAGGTGGCTGTAGCTCTGGGAGGCCCAGTGTTGGGATCTGAAGCTGCCACTCACGGCAGTGCCAAGGATGCAGGGTGGGGAGAGGCCACTTACCAGCTGCCGCTGTTTGGGGGGCAGGGCGGGCGGTGGGGCCAGTTCCTGCAGAGAATCCCCGCCACTGAAGGAGTCGTTGAAACCGTACACTTCCATGAGTAGCTTGTTCTTCTGCTGGTAAATGTGCTCGTTCTGTGGCGTCTGGTAGAACATGGAGGGCTGCGGCTCCGAGTAGTCCTCCAGCAACTGCATGTAGGCCAGCACTGCGAGACAGGGGAGGCCCTCGCATGCTCTCTCCGAGGCCACCCAGGGGCCCCTCCCACCTGCTCTTCCTATGGCAGCCAGGTGCCTTCCAAGGAAAGCACACTGGGAAAGAGGGCAGGCAGAGCACAGGAAATTCTTGGGACAGTAACACCACAAACTCCCCACGTCTGACCCAGAGAGCAGCACTCTGCACTCTGAGGTTCAGGTAACTATGGTGCCTCAGTGAGGCTCATCCACTGGAACCAAAGGTCCTGCTCCAGAGGGGCTGGTCGTGGGGTGTGTTGTGTGGGGGCAGGGTGGGGAGGTGGGAAGTCCCTCCCTTCCCACTCAGTGTTGTGAACTGTCTAAAAACAATGATTAAGGGAAGGTGCCGGGCTGCCTCACTCCCTTCCTGAAGAGCCCTCAGGGCTTTCCAGCAACACTTAGCAGGGGACGCTAGGTGCCTCTGTGGGGCTCTCCAGCTGCAACTCACAGGGAGCTCAGTCCCAGCCTGCGCCCTCCCTGGCCCTTGGGCTGGGTTCCAGCTGCCACCTTGGGGTTTGCACACGTTTCCAGTTGCTCCAAAAATTCTACCTGTGGCTAAATGCTTGGGGGCTCCTAAAAGCAGCCCCCTCCCCACTAGCCTTCCCTTGCCCAGTGCCCTGCTGCCTGGGCGTATTCTCCTTGGCTCTTCTTGTGGTTTGCAGTGAGCTGCCTGTGGCCTTCCCACCTTCACAAAGTTTATTTACCATGTGCCTACTGGACACACTGGGCACCTGCACAGGCACTGGGACTGTACCAGGGCCAGGAGGACACATCCTCCATTTTTGGGGCATACCTTCTTCTCCAGGCAGCTGACAGACATATAGTCATGGGGAAACTGGTCCTATAGAGAAGAGTGAAGTGCAGTGGACAAACCATGTGACAACAGAGGACCTTCAAGGCTGGGAAGAGAGTGGGCGGGCAAAGAATAGCAGGCAGAGGACAGTTTTGAGGCCACCTAGCACTGTGAACAGGACAGGGCAGCGGGCAGCAGGCTTTATTCTGAACATAGGGGGAACTACTGGAGGGTTACACTCTTGGCGTTTCTGGGTGGGGCAGGGGGCACGACTGATCCCTTGAGAAAATGACTCTGGACCACAAGCTCTTCTGGGGAAGGATCGTGGTGCAAGAGGGGTGGTGGCCACACCTGCAATCTCAGCAACCTAGGGAGCTGAGGCAGGAGGATCACAAGTTCCAGGCCAGCCCCACAACTTAGTGAGGTACTGTCTCAAAAATATAAAGGGCTGGGAATGTAGCTCAGTGGCAGAGCACCTGCCTGGAGTGTGCAAAGCCCTAGGTTACACACACACACACACACACACACACACACACACACACACACAAACGCAACAGAATTTATTGCCTTCCCCTAAAGGGTTGAAGCTCAAAGGCAGGGACCACATCTGGCTTGTGCTGTCCCTAGTGTGCCTATAAACACTCATAGAATGAGGAATGGGAAACATGCCCTCAGAAAGTGTCCTTGGGAACCTGCTGAATCAGACGAGCCCCAAGCCCTGGGGCATGTGTGGTAAAGCACCCACAGGGCGTGCAAGAAATGCCAGCTACTAAACTCAGTTCTGCCCTTCAAGATTAAAGGCTAAGCTAAGCCACCCCTGACGGAAGGATGGACACTGAGGAAAAAAGGTGCTTAAGTTTGAAAACAGGCCTCTTCCCCTCTAGCCCTGGTAGAAGCCCCGCCCCTGCTGTCCTGGTAGCCTGATGTGGAGCAGCCTGTCCAGCCTGTCCAGGCTGGCCAGCATGGCAGCACAAAGAGTGGGGCCTAGCTGGGGAGGTGAGAAGCCGAAGAGCAAGGAGCTTAGCTGTCAGGTCTCAGTGACCTTGTCCTTGCCCCGCAGGCTCCTCTCCATGAAGCAGGTGTGGCACCCTAAGCACCTGTGGGGCATCAGTGTGTGCTTCATTCCCGATTTTGGGGTCAGTGATCTGCCCCACTGCCTAGAGGACCAGAGGGCTCTGGAAGTGGGCTGGAGCACACAGCTGCCTGGTGACCTCCCACAGTGGTGAGGGCTGCATGGAGCAGAAGCCCAGCTTCTAATCTCCATCAAACACAGACTTAGTGCTACCCTGACGCTGCCCAAGGCAGAGTTGAGGTCAAGGCCGGCACCCCAAACACCTGTGTCCTGGAATCCTGTATTGTCCTCTTTTCTCTAGGCAGCAGGGCTCATGGGTTCTGGGGTAGTTCCCATGTTAGGAAGAAAACACTCTTGGCCTCTTGACACCTGGTTAGAAAAGGTACCAATGAATTTACTTACAGAGGGAACTAAGATGACAAGAGCTAGGAAGAAAAGGGAACCTGGGTTCAGAAGCTGGGACCTAAGTCAGTGTGTGGGTAGATCTCAGCTACCTCTTAAGTCAGCACCTTCCCCTCAAACCACGTTGCAGTGCCATAGCCCTTGCCTGGCAAAGCTGAGGTTCAGATGCCAAGGGAAGGTGGCCTGGATGGCTCCATGGTGCGGGACACTGTGTTTCCAAACAACCCGAGCAGGGGTCACAGGAAATCCAGGAAGGCAGAGGCATTCTCAGCGGGGTCATGGTCCTTCCCTCTGGAGTCCTGCTGAGGAAGGGGTGGAGGTCCTTCCTCACTTGCAAGAACAAGCAAGCCCTTCTTGTTAGCTCCAACAGCACCCACCGGACCTGGCCATGCGGGGTACAGCTCCTGGTGCCTCATGCCACAGGGTCACTGCTGCACCACTGCCGCACCACTGACACCAAGTTCCACAGAAGATGCCAGCCCAGGAAGGCAACCTGCACCCTACCATCTGCTCCCTGGAAGGACCAATCAACCACCTCTGCCTGGTGTTCCGACAAGCTGTGGTCCTTCAGGTCTACAGAACTCCAGATGATGCGGACCTGGTAGAGACCTGCCCCTGTTCTTGCCAGGAATGGCAGTGGTGTCCTAGACCCTTGAAACAAGGAGTTCAGTCCCTTTCCAAAGCAACAGCAACTGATTGGAGGCTGTTCACACTGGCCCGGTTGGGAAGGCTCAGTGGCTGGCACTGCTAGGCCCTGGGGCTGTGGGGACTTCAGATGTCAGAAAGCAATCAGGGTCCTTCAAGATGTCAGAGCACTCTAGGACGAGGACACACTGTGACATCTGACTGAACACATATGAGCTTGGTCTGGCAGCAGTTCAATGTGAGGAATGGTGCTGATCTCTTTTTCCCAAAAGCAATTTTTTTTTTTTTTTTTGGTACCAGGGATTGAACTCAGGGGCACTCAACCACGGAGTCACATCCCCAGCCCTACTTTATATTTTATTTAGAGACAGGGTCTCACTGAGTTGCTTAGTGCCCCACTTTTGCTGAGGCTGGCTTTGAACTTGAGATCTTCCTGCCTCAGCCTCTCGAGCTGCTGGGATTACAGGTGTGTGCCACCGTGCCCACCTTTTCAAAGCAATTTTGTGAGATGCTTTTTTTACAGCGTCACAGGCTGGAAGTCTCCAAGGGTCCTCTCAGGGGAACAGAGCAGATTCTGGACCAAGACTAAGCCTTGGGGTACCTCAAGTTTGGGACTCTTTTGGAGAGCACAGAAAAGACTGTATAGGGTCACTACTGAAAACTGGAGGGGTGCTGAAGGAGGAGGGCTGGATGACCTCCTTGGCTTGGAGGGTTTGAGTGTGCTGCCATCCAAGAGCCATCACCCCTCACCCCTCCCTCATCTCCAGGACTAAGCTAATGACACCTGCCTTCTCAGGTGGCCAGGACTTGAGAGCCAAGCTGTGACACTCAGCTCAGGACACCATACCTAGGCCCCGTGGTTTCTGAAGATCTGTAGGTAAAGTGCTCCATCACAGTGGAGAGCACCTCACACAGTGCCTGGCCCCAGGGAAAGATACTTTCAGTCTCTTGAGACCGCTTGACAGGAACCATGGCCACCCTTCTTCCCCTTCCTTCTCTACAGATTTTGCCCAAGGACCGCCACCCACACTTGTTCTCAGAGCTGGGAGAGGAAGGCTTCTGGCTTCCTGGCCAGGCAGCACCATCTGTCTGGTGGAATTTGTAGGGATGCAGTCCTGCCCTATATCTGAGTCCCAGGGACTCTCAGGAAAGGAAGGGGTGGGTCCATAAGGGAATGCTGCTGCAAGTAGGGTGGGTGGAAGGAGAGGCCAAGGGTTCCTTAAAGGCTTCCCTGTGCTGAGGGAGACGCCCGGGGACATTCCTGGCATAGCTGCTGTGTACCCCTCACCAGTACCCTGGTCTCTAATGAGCAGGCTTCCAGGAAAGATGGGAATGACATCACTAGCCCCACAGAGCTGGCTCTCCCTCTGCTGGGAGGAGTGGGGAAGCTACACCTTCACAGCGGCCTCCTCTCAAGATCCAGCTGGCTCAAGGCAGCCCTGCTACTTTAACCAAGCCCCTCCTCCTTTCTTAGAGGAGGGGTGCTCTGGTCTGCACTCTGGAATGGAGACCCTATTTCTAGTTTGTAGGGTTCTGTGTCATGCTTCCACCAGGCCAGGGAATACTGGGACCATTGTGGCCACATGTATCAAAATGGTGACAGCTGGTCTGCCAGGGAAAATCAGGGAACAGTGCCAGGGAAGTGGGAGGCAGTGACTGCGATGTGCAACAGTTAGGGAGCTGGGAGGAAACAGAGCTTCCAGAACGCTGGTTAGTAATTCTATGGCAAATCTTCAGTTGGAAAATATCCAAACACAAGTATTCAATGTTTCAGATCCACCCCAATGCTGGTAATTTCTATTAAAACATCTGGTTCACAAGGCATCCTCGGCCCCTCCTGCAGGCCACCTCAGGTCATTCTATCAGCATGCGGTCCTGCATCTGCAGATAGGACAGTGTGCACCCAGGGTGCACCTGGTGTCTTGCTAAAGGGGGGTCCTTAGAAAACCACCCTGTGGGCACCAGGGGGGTTCTGTTCAAATATCCACCTCACTTTACACAGATATTGCTGTAACCTGTCCTGCGTGCCCCGACACTTGTGTCTTCAGGCCAAAAGGTCAACTGCCTCCACCTGAAGAGGACAAGCACTCAGGAAGGGACCAGCGTGAGACTTTACAGAGACCACTTATGGAGAGGTCAACTTACGGAGCTTTGAGAACAACCGTCAGTGATGAGAGCACAGGGCTCCCTGATGTGGCCATCCTTTCATGAAACACCCAGGCCCCTGGCTTCACTTCAGACTAATGCCTGAACTACCTGAACCCAACCCACTCTGCTCTAGCTTACACAGTGCACTTCCTGATGGAGCTCGACAGAGGCTTACTGTGTTTGTTTTTCTTCTCTGGTAGAGGAGGTGGCTGCTCTGGATCCCCCGCTGACTCGGGAGCAGTAAAATCACCCACAAACTCGATGGGGGTTGAGGAGCCTCCTTGCTGAAAGGGGAGGACAGCAGCGAAGGGCGTATAGGGGAGAGCTGGGGCTGGGTTCTGTAGGTCGTCCTCGGGGATGTTGTCGTACTGCGAGGGGTGCCGCTCATAGGATGCCCTGCAGCCAGCACTGTCCGAGGCCTGGGAAGCTGCGCTCCGACGCTTCTTCTCAGGCAAAGCAGGTGGTGTGTCTGTCTGCCGCCCCAGGGCAGAGGGTCCCTCAGACGGGGGACAGCTTCCAAGAGGCAGCTGGAAAGGATGGCTGGGAAACGGAGACCCAGTCTCCCCCAAGGACTCCGGCAGCGGGCTAAGGTTGCAGGCCACGTGCTGAGGTATCTGGTCTGCGTTGGAGAGGTCTTGCTGGAGGAATTCATAGTCGGGATCATAGTGATCTGAAAACCCAATAGGAAACATGCCTGTCAGCCACGAGGCCCTGGCCAAACAACGAACCCCTTCCTGCTGTACCCAGTCTTGCCTCACAGAGGGACACAAATGTGTCTCTGTTCTCTTCTATGCAGGTTCTTGCTTTATCTGGTATTGTTCATTATGCTCCTTGACTGTCAATCAAATGGGGACGTGGCTGTACTACTCCTTGCACTTTGTGCTCACCCCCACCATATATTTATATTTATTTATTTCAGGAGGTTCTGGGAATTGAACCCAGGGTCTCATGTGCATGCTAGGCAAGAACTCTGTACCATTGAGCTAAATCCCCAGTCCTTTCCTATTTTAAAAACATTTATTACTTTAAAAAATATTATAAGCACCGCAGAAAACATGGCAAACCATCATAAAAATAAATATCACCCACTCCCAGGATCTATCATCTTTGCTTACATTTGATGTATTTTCTGGGTAAACAGTCCTGGGTTTTTCCATTCATCAACATATCATAAGTTATTTCTAATAGCTACAGATGATTCCACTAAACAAAGGTACCATAACTCATCTGATTCCCAGCATTGGTTCTCTAGTGTTTCCAGATTACCACCAGTCCTAACAATGCAGAGATTAATGTCTTTGAGAGAAATCTTGCTATAGGTCTCTGATGATGCTCTTAGACACATCCTTGGAAGTGAAAACATCTCATGCATGGGACACAGACAGCATAGCGCTGTCAAACCCTTGCCAAATGCAGTCGGCCCACATGGTCTGCATTCGGTTCCAGCCACGACTGCCTGTGCTACTCTGTCCAACACTGTCAGGGGTGCAGGGCTTCATTTAGAGATCCAGGTGCAGGTGGCCATGAGAATGTAGCACACACTGACAGGCCATCCGCGGGCAGTGCTCACCTGAGCGCCTGACTCTGAGGTTTTGTGCTGATACAAGTGTTGGCTTCCTTGAAGGCCAGACACTAGCCTCATTTTGCAGATGAGGCCTGGATTTTAAGTGATATGGTCAGGGTCATCTACTCAAGACTGGCATTAGCTGGGACTCAAGTCTAGGAGGGTAAAAGTCCCAAGAAACCAACAAGAAAGGAGACAGGAGTTGCCCGAAGCTCACCTAGTGTTTCACAGCTTGTGTTCCGGGAGCACTGTCCACTGTCCCTGTCCAGAGAAGAGAGCTGCTCATCCGACTTGCTGAGCTTGCCTATGCTGCTGCAGGGGGAGAGGCGGGGAGACTCTCCGCCATATGAGTGGCTGCCCCCTGACAGTCGCCTCTGTGCATAACAGTCAACCTCAAAATCCTCAGAAAGAAAAATAAAACAAGTCAAGTCACTTCTGAGAATGGTGGTAGAGACTGAGGACAAGGCAATGGGCATACTGACTCAGAGAAGGAAATAGCCCTTTCAGAAACCACTTCTGATGTCAGCAATACAATGATATATAGAGACAGAAAGGAAGTCCCGGTGGAGGAGTGGATAAAGATGTCCTCAGGAGATGCCCTGTGGCTCCAGCCTACCTACCAGCCTCCTGGGGAAGAAGGAGGATGACAGAATCCCACCCTCACAGCCTCTCCACCTGAATGACCACAGCAGGGCCTCAGGGTCAAATTCCCACCCTCCACCCTCCACCTGTGCACACAGCAGCAGGGCTGCATTACCTGCCTATTAATTCCAACAGGCAAACTGGAGCCACTGGTGGCCCGACTCATAGGGGCTACCACAGCCACCCGGGTAGGGGACGGTGCCGACTGTCTTTTCTTGGGTGGCAATGCTGGTGGACTGAAAGAGACCAAAACATGTAGACAAACCAGGTGTCACAAACAAGAGTGCTTTAGAGCCAGGCGTAGGGGCGCATGCCCATAACCCAGCAACTTGGGAAGCAGGGCAAGAGGTTCGCAAGTTCAAGATCAGCCTCAGCAACTTAGTAAGGCCTGTGTCTCAAAAAAATAAAAAAAAGAGCTGGGGATGTGGCTCAGTGGTTAAACATCTCTGGGTTCAATCCCCAGTATTTTTTTTTTTTTAAGAGAGAGTGAGAGAGGAGAGA